CCCCAAAACCCCAAAACCCCAAAACCCCGCGTGTTACTATATAATTTAAATTCAAATTATTTAGGCACAAAGATGAATAATTACCACATTTATGAAGAGATTGGTCATGGAAAGTACTCCATTGTGTATAAGGTAAGTATATCTTTTAAGTTTTGCAACTTAAAGTTCCTTTAACTTAGAAAAGAAATAGCAGAAATACTTCATTGAGCAACAAATAATTTGTTCAGCTTTCTCTTTAGAATCAGAAGGAGGAACCTAACCTTTTTTTGCTTATTCTAGACTCCAGCTGGTAGCTAAAATAAGTAATTCGTATTATCTTTGATGCATTATTTTGTCATGTAGCGTGGTGGCATAGCTCTTTTGATTATAATACCTAAATTTTAGTTTCTATCAGCATTCTTGCATTCCAAAACTTATCTTATTTTTGCGGATTAAAAGTAGAATCAATGGTACTTCTGATGCCGGTTAGCATTTCTTTCTTTTTATCTTATACTGAATAACTAAACACTTGGATAAGATTAAGAAGTTTATACAAGTGCTTAATTCATATAATATTGCCATTTTGCACTTTGCTGAGTAAATATATGCAAACTAATATCTAATAGGGTAAGAAAAAGAAGAGCATCCAATATGTTGCAGTGAAATCTGTTGAAAAGAACAGAAGAAAGAAGGTTATCAATGAGCATAGGATACTTAAAACTCTTAACCACCCCAACATCCTCAAATTCTACAACTACTATGAGACCAGAAATCATCTGTGGCTAATATTTGACTTTTGACCTGGAGGAGACATCTACAAAATGCTCAACGAAGATAAAATGTTCCCAGAAGAAATAACCAAACATTTTGGAGTTGAAATAATGAAGGGCATGTACTACTTACATTCCAATGGAATTATATATGGCGACCTCAAACCGTCCACCATTCTCTTTAACGAGTATAATGAGCTAAAATTAGCAGATTTTGGCAGAGCGAAATAAAATAACTGATTATATAAACCCAGGCCAAGAGACATATGCAAAAGCCAAAACAGGATCCCCCTATTATATGGCCCCAGAGCTGTTCCAAGATGAGGGAGTCTATAGTTTTTGATCAGACATTTGGTCATTCGGATGACTTCTCTTTGAATTCCTCACTGGAAAGCCGCCATTTAATTCAAATAAACTGAACAATCTGATCAAACTCATTACGGAGGAGCCAACTCCTATTCATTTGCTCAGATGTTCACCAGAATTAAAAGAAATGATCGGATTGATGCTTGAAAAAGACCCAGCTGATAGAATAACCTGGGAAGAACTAATCCAAAACCCATATTGGCAAGAAGAGGAGTTGAACGCCCTTGATGTTGACCGTCTCCCAGAAGAGCCTCAGTTTGAAGCATATCTCAAAAGAATGGGAACCACCCGGAGAGTAGCTCCTTCAAAGATAAAACAATTAATGCTGTAAGTTAACTCATTTCTAAATTTTAGAGAAAAAGAGAGTGATCTCTTCTTACAAGAAAAAGCGAACAACTTAGCCAGACATTTAGGCCCTGGATTGAATCATAACAACGTTGATCTCCTTCGTCTGTCTTATAACGTTAAAAGAAACATGGAAAACAATTCTCATGAAGAAATAGAGGTTCAGGGTGATGACCTTCAGATTAACAATCAAAATATTGAGCTTGACTTTGCTGAAGAGAATGATGAAGATGAATCAATGCCTGCTGATGAATATATAGATCCATCTCCTTGAGAGCAACGCCCTCAAGAACCTCAAACTAGTCGTTTATTCACCAAGGATGAATACTTGTCAAAACTTCAGATTCCAGGATCTTTTAGTAATACTAATATCAAAGAGAAAAGATTATTTGAAAAGGCTGACTCCAATCGAGTTGAAACTGATGAATTTTGAGATGACATTGACCAGAAGTATAAGAATATGATGAAAGTCGAGAAAAGAGACTTTAAAAATATATCAAATATAGGTCAAATAACAAATAAGAAAATGCTTCTTCAAAATCCGGAGAAAATTAAACAAGAATATTCTAAAGCAGAGGTAGAAAACATTGATTCAAAATCTTATCCAAAATTCGGTATGATTAAAGGGAGATCTCATCAACCAAAAATGAAAGAAGATGCTTTATCTAATAATTATGTTCAAATTTCAGAAAAGAAGTATAAGCCTTTTACTAGTGGGGCTTCAAACGAATCCTCTCTCAACAAATTTAAATATCCAAAAGATTCATCATTAACTGCCAAAGAGATAACCAAAGATGCAATTCAATTTCATCCTGGATCAAGCAATATTATTGCCTCTCCATCTGATCAGAAAAATAGAATCCTCACAAAAAGGTCATCCAGCTATAAGACAAGCTCTAGTCCAAAGAAAATGTGACCTAAATCAGTAGAAGAACTATTAATCCATCACTCAGATATGGCTGTAAAGCCCATCATTGGAAACAAAGACATTGAAAGGACCCAAGAACCAGTTTATAAGCCAGATTATCTGACTTTCATACCTTGGAAGCCAGAGGAGTTTGAGAAGAATATTGACAACAGAGATATTCAGAAATACATGTCAGAGATCTACAATGCCATTATGTCTAACACTAATCTCACAGAGAGAGTGCATGCATTGTCTTACTTCGAAAGCTTGATCATTAGTAGCAATGTCGCTAATACTTTAATCAATTCAGCATTCCTGGGGCTGTTCGCTCACATTCTGAACAAATCTACTAAATCCCATATGATCAAGATTAGGACCTGTTCAATCATTGGACTCTTGATACGACATGCAACAGTTATCGAAAACAAAGTTGCAGAAAGTGGCATCTGCAATATTCTTTGAAGGACCCTCCAAGATTCGAAAGAGAATGTTCGAAGAAAAGCAATCGCTGCTCTTGGAGAATACTTATTCTATGCAGCTACACAATTAGATGGCGATCAGGCATCCAAGGTATGGACTATTTCTGATCAAACAATTAAAACCCTACTTGACTGAATGGGAGATTATCAAGATGAAATAGTCAAATTTTATGCTTGTAAAACCATTGAAAACATCACCGCCCAGAGCAACTTTGCTGGAATCGGCTTAGCTACCTCAGGCATCTGAAAATCCCTTATTAAAGCATTTTTAAGTCAAGGAAAGGAAAGTTTTGTTATAACCTCTGCAGTAGCCCTCTCTCATGTAGTGAAACTAAGCCCAAAACTATTTCAAATAGTTCTTGATTACATCCCTCTCGAAGACATCTGAACCATTCTGATTGACAATCACTCTAAAGTACAGCAAGCATTTTTAACAATGCTTAACATAGCTCTACTTCATAAAAACGAGGCTTTGCTTATTAGTGTCATCGAGTCAGCAGATTCTCTTTGAACAGTTATTGTTAGTCTACTTGAAAGCCAGAGTCTAGTGATCAGAGGCAAATCGCTCCTCTCAGTAGTCCTACTTCTCAAGAACTTCCCCTTGCAATGGTTCACCTTATTCATGAACGACAAAAAGTTTATAACCCTTCTGACCAGATTGATCAAGGATAGCTACAAATATGTTCAATATGGATTAATGCATTTCATTGATCAAATGAATGTCACCATTCCGATAATTCTAAACGCTATTGAAGAAGACCTTACCTACGCTATAAACATGGGAGATACCACTGAACTTGATGTTGATCCCATAGTGGAAACTGTCATGCAGAGAAGAAATGATTTCAAAAATGTCAGAGGCCACATGACTCTGATTTCTCTACTGCTAAACGTAGCAACTAACCAACTAATGAAAGCAAGAATAATATCAGAGGAATTTTTAGAGTCAATTGCAAGACTACTAAATTCTTGAGAGCCAAACTTATTTGTGGGAGCAGATGAAATGACCAATGCTATATTAACAATCATGGAAACAATTTCAGGAAACCAAAAGACTTTAGCGAATAACAGTATCTCGATCGTTCAGCATATACTGCCAGCTCTAATGGAAAAGCTTAAATCTAAATGAAACGAAGTAAAGTTTATAGCTCTAAAAGTTTTTAATGAGATAATACTTCAATATCTCTACGACGAAAACATATATGATGTTTCAAAGCTTGAATTGTCTATCAAAGAAGACGACTATATTTCGGAATCTGAAAAACTGGTGCAATACACAACAGAAATGATTAACGAAATATTGGTAGGCAGTTTCTTACCAAATTTCAAATATTTACTTAATGAAGAAGACCCTGTGCCCATATTTGCGATAAAATTCCTCTCAGTGTTGATGGAAAAATGTCCACATTTTATAACTACTATTAAAAAACTAGAGATAACATCCAAACTAACAGAATACTGCACTTATGGACACAGGAGAATGAACCCTCATATGATGGAAATTGTCAAAAAGATCCTAGAAATTGAAGCAAAGACTGACCTTGCATTTAGAAGAGCATTCTAGAGCTAAGAAACTTATCTATAAAAATAATTTTCAATTTAATATTCTTTAGAGGGGTTTTGGGGTTTTGGGGTTTTGGGGTTTTGGGG